GGTTCACTGCGATGCGTCTTGACACTTTAGTATAGCGCCCTTATGCAACTACTTTTTTGGCCTTATTGGGTGGCTGCTGTTGAATCTCAGTACTTGCGTCGTATTAGTTGCTTTCTTGAATCATTTAGCTTTTAGACCACCACAATCTTTCCGGCAAACGAGGACGTAGAGGTAGGCTAGTTGGCTATTTTGTTCCTCCTCCTCCTCCTCCTCCTTCTCCTCCTCCTCCTCCTCGCCCTTCTCCTCCTCCACCATTGTGAATTGTATGTCCATGAAGACGCCATTAAGACGTTCTTTGAATGTCAGAACCTGATCCCGTTCGATTATGACGAAGGTATCGTCCACAGATTAGGCCCAGAATTTCGGTCCATGGTGTCCAAAACCAGTGACTCCGGCCGTTGTAGGACCGCCTCGGCGATGAGTCCTGAAATCGACGAGCCCATTGGCATGTTCTCAGCTGCTCGCAGATTGTTCCGTCGAAGGTAAAGAATGCCTTGAGGCAGAACCTCAGGAGTCGAAGGAGTTTGGCGTATTCGAGGCCATTCTCAGTTTTGTCGTATTTGTCTCGTAGGGGTAGTTCTGTAGTCTCGACTGCCATGTCCTGTGGAATAGAAGTAAAAGGGACGTGACATCAAAAGATACCATGACGCCGCTTGGCAAGCAACTTGCTAATAGAAGCGAAGGGGCGAGTTCTGAGAAGTAGTCGCGAAGGGGACACGATTGCTGGAACAAGAGCTTTATTAGCCTGACGTTTCTGATTCTCACCCGATTCCATCCTCAGAGACAGAGTCGGATAGTGCTCCTTTAAGTTTCTCCAAGAATTGCGTTGACAATCGGACTGTTTTGTTCTAACCAGTGGTCAATAACTTGAGACGTCCACACCGTATTACTTAAAGATAACAACTTTTTCGCTTAATCATAACAGGTCATCCGGGGGCTACCCCTGAAGAATTCCTCCTAAGGAAAAACCTGTAGAGCCTGGGGTCGGCCAGTTACATGCGCCGGTTTCAAATGTCACATCCTGAGATCTAAAATTCGCAAACATTCCCCAACAGCTTTTCCTATCAACGCATATTACCAGCTAGATGCCATTGACTGTGACTCTTCGCCGTCGATTCCGACGATGTCCACCGTGTGCTCAACCGCGGAATGAGCGCAGGGACGACGAATTTCACGTGAGTTGCTTCAAAGTGATAGCAGAGGTGCTCTGCGTCTACTACATTCTCCCCTCCTTCCTCTCATCTGAACCCGGCGTCAAGAGAGAGCGAGATGACTGGAGGTGGAAGAGGGCATAAGTGGTTGGCATGATGAAGACCCGCACCAAGGCGTGCCGCCACACCCCTTGGTTTACAAACGGATGATCAGGACTTCATGCAATGAGAGAAGGGGGGGCTTGGAACCCAAAAGTGTGGGAGGGAAAAACAGGCCACATTAGGAAGGACCCACTGTAGTCCACAAATCGGCCACTCAACTCACAACCACACTGGGTTGACACGAGGTCCGTGTTGAATCGTCAGTTGACAACTTTTCAGTGCGCGGCTTTCAGCCCGCCGGGATAGACTCAAGCGCATCAGATTGCCAGCAGTGAGGAAGTACGTGCTGAGTGTCGACATCACCTACTCTACCCTATCCAGCGCACCAATCGACCATCCAAACCGGTCGACCAATTGATGCTGAGAGTGGAAGAGATGACTGACGTGGCTGAGAACAGCTCGTCTGCGCGGGCCACGCACACGACCTAGCCCTCCATGCGCACACCAGGAGTTTACACACATAGGGGCAGAGCGCTCGGATCTCAAAAGCAGCGAAGAAGCCGCATGGTGTTGGTGTTGTGGGATGCCGGAGGTGTTTGCGCTTGGTGCATGTGTTAGTAGGGAAGCGTGTGGTGATGTGGTCGTGTCTTCAGTGATTCCTCACAGGTTTTCATGAGGGTGCATACGACAGAATAGACCCTTGCGATGGCTGAATGTGAGATAACAATGTGAACAGTTGCGCAGATTACCTCTGGAATATGTTTGTGCTCCAGCTGCTGGTTCGCCAGTCACTGTGGGATGTATTCGCAAGCGACCGATCAGTCCGATGCGGTGGGGTAGACGTACGGTGACATTGTGGACAGGATAGGTTGGGGCATGTGAATCCGGTCGTTAGTGTGATGCTGTTAGTGGTGGGGGAGTTGGTGGATATCCAGGGTATACTAGGTGTGTCGATATTGCTGTAAATTCTACTGTTGGGGGTACGCCCAAACGGTGTATGAATGGACGTGGACAGTGACGGTGGATGCATGGAGAGACAGCTGGTTCTGGTGCGCCAGCTGCAGTGCGATGGATTCACAAGTGACTGACAAGGTCGCAATAAGAGCGCGTCCATGTTGCTGGAAGTGGGAGGACAGTGGTCAACGGGTTATCGAGAGCGTTTTGATGTGCAGCAAGAGTGAGTGATGTGATGGTGATCGTCGTTGCCGCGGAGGTTGTGTCAGGGATGAAGAAGTTTACGGTAATCGGCGGCGGCGGGGCGTCAGGTGCGTGGTCACCGATGGTGGGTTCGATCGTCGTCGTAGACGCCGTGGGGACTGGGGCATGGGTAATGACGGGTGTTAACAGGTGAGGTTTTAGGGTTTTTGTGGAATTGGGTAGAATTTTATATCGTAGCCGCACCTGCAATAGAGAAGTCCCAGCCTAAACCCTAACCCTAACCCCTAACGTCCAACCCCCCAATCCCGACCCCTAACCTTAACCCCTAACCCCATTCTCTGACCCCAACTCCAAACCTCAACCCCTAACTCTGACACCTAACCTCCAACCCCAACCCCTAACCCTCGACCCTAATTCGATTAGGTACGGATACGAAATAAGATCTTGCCTGGCGTTGTATCCGAAGATGTCCGACGAAGCCTCTCCGTACGCGGAACCTTCATCGGCAGCGTGAGCATATTTAGTGTGTTAGAGGGTTGCCGCTGTGAGTTGGGAGCTCCTGTGACTTGCGAATTCCCTTTTTGGTCTTGGCAGCGACGATTCAGTTTGTCTACTATATCGCTACTCCAGTCTCCACGGCTCTTCTCTAGGTCGGTCGGTTCTGTGCGAGATCTTCCCCAAGTCTTCGGTCGATTTTTAGCCATTTTGAGTAATTCTTCAAAGTGTCATTATAGCGGCGGGTTTGACCTCCTTGTCGTTTAGCACCCGCGCAAGATCTCCATAGAATAGTGGTTTGGGTTGGCGATCGTCATGCGTCCTCATAAAGTGGCCGCTCAGCCGTAGTTGCAATCGCCTCAGCATGGCGCAGAAGCTGGGGACTCGGGTGCTTTTTAAGATTTCCATGTCCGGGATACTGTCCTGCCACCTATGCCTTAGTATGCGTCGGGGACAAGATAGATGTATGCGATTGAGTTTACTGGCTGATTGGACAGCTTTGTACATTTTCAGTTTGCTGTTGAGGTGGAGACTGCGTCGATTCCAAACGGAGCGCTGCAGCCGGCCGAAGACTTGGTTGACTTTGGACATCCAGTGAGCAACCTGTTTGTCGATTTTGACGCAGCACAAGAGTGTGCTGTCTAAATATGCAAAATCGTCCACGGTCTTCTCTTGGGCGTCATTGACAGTGATCAGAGACACATTATATGCGGTGTTAAAAGGCGGTTGATTCATAATCACCGTTTTGTCTGTGTTGGCAGTCAGCCCGAACTTGGCGCAGCCGGAGGCGAAGAGGTCCATGCTTCTTTGCATATCTGCTTCTGTCGCGGTGTTGAGCGCGCGGTCGTTTACGAAGAGCAGGTCGTGAACAGTAGTCGTGGATAGACCTGTTAGGGACTGCATGCGCCGGCTATTGAGAAGATGGCTGCCAATCCTTTTGGTGATGCGGATGCCAAGACGCTCATCACGATAGGTGTCCCTCGGCACGGCAGGAAACACAAGACAGAGCAGGGCGTGGGCAGGAGACGGCTCTGTTTCACTCCGCCGGTTATCATAGCTGTTCCTGAGATGGGCCCGTCGTCCATGATGCGCGCCATCCTCCATGCACGGAACAGCAGGCCACGCCGGCAGCGGAATACATGTGTGAAATCAGACAGTCGGCCAGCGTGTACTGCAGCGCTGAGCGCGTGTGCTGCCTTTGCTCAAGCGAGCGACCCAATCAATGGCGGGTCAAACATTCGAGATTTTTCCGAGAGGGGATTCTTACACACGCAACAGTCAATACACGACTAACACGCTATAGACCGGAATGTTCCAGAACGCTCAGAGTCCAGATAAACAAGATGTCTTTTGAGGAGTTGAAAACCACTGTGTTCGCAGCGTGTGAGAATAAAGTGGTTGTTCCGGAAAACGTTTTTCTTCTCTTTCCATCTGCATTTCGGGCTATAACAAAAGAAGTGTAGGAGTGAGTCCGAATTTCCTTGTACACCTTTTGTAACTGGCGGCTGACGAAGACCATGTCGGTGGTTCCGAAGCCCCACTGACTCTCCGACGGAATTCTCTGTTCAAGATGGCTGTTGAGACGGTCGAGGAGGACGTGAACGAAGATCTTCCCGGCCATGTTGAGCAGCGAGATTACCCTGTGGTCATCATAGGGTTGACAATTCCTCTTCCGTTTGTTGACATTAACGCATTCCTGAGAAACTCGTCCTCGGTGCTACATCTCCTGGGATGACGTTTTGAACTGATACATCGGCCAGTGCCTGTCGTGCTCATAGGCCTCGACTGGAATCGCATCAGATCCCAGTGTTTTCCCGCTGGAGAGTCGGTGCACGGCTTGGATTGTTTCCGAGAGAGAAGGCGGCAGATCCAGGTCATCGTTAATTTCCGGCTGAGGGGGTCAGTCGATGGCAGCGTCGGAGATTGTAGATGGGCGGTTGAGGACACTTCCGAAGCGTTCGACACAGCGCTTAAAAACCTGCGCTTGAGACTATCACAGTGCACTAAAAATCATAGGTAAGAATGTTGCCAGTGCCTTTTCATTTCATACCACGCAATTAGCCTTATTTTGTGGTTTTGCGTCGGGTGTTTGACTGAGAGTCGGCCTGCCATGATTGATTCTTGATAACACTCTCACTTACGCCAGATCCGAGCCATTTGCCCCCTATGTGTGAAATCCTGGTCTGTGCGTATAGGGGGTCAGGCGTTGTATGCTGTGCGCGCAATCGGGCTCTCTGGCTTTGTTAGCCACAGCGCCCACTTTGGGTATCAAACATCTGAACGGCTTGGACAGCGAAATGGTGCCTGAGGGTGGGAATACTAGGCGATATGGACGGTCTCAGTGCATATTCCTCACTATGAACCATCTCTAGCGCCTACAGCTATCACGGTGCGCTGAAAGGCCGCTAACTGGAGGAATAACGTAGACTTCACAGTCAGCCCAGTATGCGTTTGTGTGGAGTGGCGGACTGGTGGACTGAGAGTCAGGCTGCAGTGGCTCCTTCTTAATGTGGCCTCTATAGCACTCCCACCGGGTGAGATCCCAGCCACCTCCACGTTTTGCTGTTGTGCAGAATCCTGGTCTAGGTGGGAGGCGATGGTACGCCTTGACACGGAATCCAGCTGGAGAAGGACAGGGTACGGTAGGCGCAGCGCAAATCTGCTATAACTTTAAACTAACCTGCACGCAGGTCACCATCTCTGTTCTTTCTCTGTTGTGGAGCACACGGTGGACAACGTCGGCAACGACGGTCGCACTGTCATGTGTGTGTTTGTGTGTATTACCCTCTAAACGGGCCACGTGCTAGATGCGCTAGACCAACACGGGGGCCATATGGGATTCTGGCATGCGCTATCTTGCGCAGTAGCAAATGCCAACCTTTTGGGGGTGCACTGGCAGGCCCTGCTGTCCGCAGTTGTCGCACAAACTGGAACCACCGCTGCCCCCCCCCCTTATTGTTTAGTCGGTCGAAATCCTGGTCATTTGTTGTGTGGACCGGGGGATGCCGAGTGGAGCGCCAAAGTGCGTATCCGTCCAATCCATCAACCTGCGGCCTCTCCCATATCCAGTCTTCTTGACTCTGTCTTGACGCAGGCTCAGGTGGGGGAGGAGGAGAGAGTGTGCTAGATGCAGCGCAAGTCTACTAGCACTACAAACCGCCACGCAAGTCACCGTCCCTGCTCCCAACCTACTGTGGTGTATACGGTTGACATCGTCGGATGTGACGGTCGAACAGTCGTGTGTGTGTGTGTGTGCCCCCCAAACAGGCTACGCCTTAGATGTGCTGGATTGACACGGTGGCACGTTAGACGAAGAAACAATAGTCGATGTTGTTAAAATCGACTTTAAGAAAGGCTTTGGTAGTGTTCCACTAAGTCAGTTATTCTACCCCGTCCGAAAATCTGCGATGGGGTGAGACTCACTAAACCTACAATCCTACCGGATTTCGAGAATTTGAGACTATGTTCTGAACTTCGATGACTCCTTCACACTGGCTACAACAAAAAATCTGCGTGTGAACTCTCTCAGACTTCGAGGTAGCTTATCCCGCATGAATGCTCCTAGGTACTCTTTATCGGTGCCTAGAACCGAATTCCCGAGGAAGTAATAATAGCGGATGCCAGGGAGGCGAAAACGCGATCACTGAAACAGTAGGTGTATTAGTCTGAACCTCTGAACTCGTACAGTAGACGATAATCAGAAACTGTGTGAGTGCAACAACGAGTGAACATTTATAGTCGAACACTAGGGGAGAGGAGTACTGTCCTTGACTGTGTCGGGGTTATTGCTGGCTGGCTCACAGTGGTTTCACGGCGCGCCTCTTTGGCCGGGAAGCGGGCCACGCCACTTGGCTGCCTAGGCGTAGGCGTAATGACACGGAGTAAGTCAATGTACTTACTGATGGAGTTGGTGACTGACACCCACATCCAACAGTTCTCTCCCACTCTTGTTGCCATCTCGCTTCTTATCCGCGTGCTCGCAAAGTTGAGTTCGTGACCTTCCACTTGACTGGAGTGGACAGCTCTGTTACGCTTTCACATGCCTACCGCCAACGCGTATGACTATTATTTCATATTTGACATTATCCAAGACGCCCGATTGGGCGCGAGTTTCACTATCACGCTATTACAAATATTGCAGTATTTCAAAATGTATATACTGCCGACAGCATGATAGTAAAATGTTTACTTCAGCTTGAATATTTCATTGCCTGTTTTCAAAGGGTCTTAAAGGGCATGACCTATTAGCCTTAAATATTCTAAACCGCTGAACTTCAAAGACATGGCTAAAGAAAAAAAGGTTGTTCAATGAGAGAGGTTATTTTCGGTTCCGGCATTCCGAGTAATGATTCCGACTACCCTCCTTTAGAGACCGGAGATCCATATGGCTCAATTTGCCTAATGCGTAGGTCACCAATGCTGACTAAGTGGGGAGGGGGGAAGGGACCGAACCCCCGTTTCGCTGTGACTTGTGTCGTCACCGAGCTTGTTCACCGTGGCAATAACTGGAGGCTCTGATTATTTCACGCTTTCACCGCCTCCTGTTAAGTAGGCTCGTAAAACCGAATAGGAGTGAGGCAAGCTTGTGTAACGGTCGACTGCGAAGTCGATGGACATCGGGGCGTCTCACACCTGTCTTGATGTGTGGTCATCGCCTCAGCTCACAATCTACATGGTATCAAAGTTGAAGCCAAACGATACTCATGCATTCGCGTTTGCGGACTTCGGTCGAGTTCTCCAACCGACCTACACTCCCCGCGGCAGCAATGTAATTGGTGGATAAAGGTCGACTTCTTCTGGCTAGGGGCTGGGTTTTTGGTTGCATAACTTGCTGGCGGATTGTTGAGTCGAGCCTATAAGCAACTCCCATCCAAAGTAATTCGAGGGATTTAGTTCCGGCCTCGGATAATTCCCTCCAAGAGGGAGTGTTTCAACACGACATCGACTGACTGCACGCTTCACGCCGATTCCTTTAGGGCCTTCGACTTTTATCGACGAGTGCTTGTGGATGGCCATTGGTTCTGAAGAGCTCGATGTACTGCACTGTGTTTCCGTCCGCCGGTATAGTGTTCATATGCAGTTTCATCTTTGTTGCAGGAAGTGGTTGCTGTAATAACTGAGTATTTGCAACGAGTATATCGGTTTACTGTAGACTGTTGTTACTATTTGCCTGTCCTGTTGGCGGCAGATGAGAATATCCAGGAACGGATGTCTGTTCTCTATTTCATCTTGTAAACTGTGGATCGGGAATGATTGAATTCAGTTGTCCCTTACAGTAGGCAATCTTGTCTCGGCCTACGATGACAAAGATGGCGTCAACGTAGCCCACCCAAAATTCTGGTATGCACTTCTCGAACAACCGTCTGTAGAGTTTTTGCCGAGTCCGGCTTTCTGAGTCCGGAGATTGGTGAACCCTTTGGGGTGTCCTTGCATTACTCGTATGTGGCCTCTTAGGCGGTAGTGCCTCACAAACTCTATGAGATCCTGAGTCGTGGGTTCATCACTGTTCTCATCATGGGTTTGGCCTTAACCACCACAGTACGGAGGGGGAGGGAGAAGGGGGAAGACATCAGTGAGAGGCGTATGCACTGTGCAGAAGCATGGCCGTTATAAGAGCCCCCAGCGCACGGCCGCCTCGAGGCCTGAGCGCGCATTCCTCCATAAGGCTTATGTGAGCTCGAATGACTAAATGTCATGTGAGAGCCAGTCAGTGCCAGCTTGGTGATTTGATTGGGTGATTAAGGAGTTGACGGGCACCTGTAATCGGCTGCCCTTGATGCCTGATTTGTGTGCGTTTCATTGGCCCGTAAGTCGTTACCAGATGTTTCCTGACGCGACTTGCGGCGTTATAATCTCCTCGAAAATTTGCCTGATGATCACCCTGCGTTTAATTTCATTCGAAGGAAATATGTGAATATGACCTCTCTCTTTTCTGGACGCGCTGCTGATCAGAATGTCTCTTCTGTCCGTTCATTCATGATACTCCAGAACAAGTGTGCAATTTGGAATAAGAAGTCTTTCTGCATTTTGGTTTGTCTTTGTCAGAATTGACGCACTGTCTGTTATGTAGCCAAACTAGGGTGAAGCGTTCGTTCTACAGCTTA